ATTCATTAGACAGACAAAGAACCTGCTGCATTTTAAATCACATACTTCCTCAATACTCGCTGCTTTGAGCATATAAGCACGTTCATGCGTTCACGTTCACCCTCAATAGCTGCCTCATTGGAAGCAAAATGTAGGAAAAGGATTACAAGCTTATTTCCAACCAGCAGAAGTTATGTTACCACAGCTGATGGAAACACTACTGCTAGCTAGTTACATTGTTTGTCTTTTGTGTTGGTTTGGTGTCATTAGGTCTGTGATGTATCACAATATGCATGAAAATGCTGGTAAAAATTTTTACATGATATAAAAATGTCATAAGATAAGATCAATGCTATACAATGAGGCAATCCTGGGCATGTCTGAGAGTAAGAGCAGTTTAGTATCTACAAAGGAGCTACGTCAACAACCTCCAAAAGGCACAGTGCACATCCCACAACGCTTGATTCACACACTACAGAAGTACAACAACAAAGCATTCAAACAGAAGTTTGGGACATTTATGTCTGCTAGATGCTAACACACATCTTTGTCTCTGTTATACAATCCATCCACTTCAGGGTGGCGGGGTAAATGTCCCACGCTGGACAGCTCGCCAATCTATAACAGGGCTAACACATAAAGACAGACAACCATTCACATTAACATTTACACCTATGGACAACTTAGAAGCATCAATTAACCCAACCCCACTAACTGCATGTACTTGGACTGTGGGAGGAAGCTGGAGTACCCAGAGAAAAATCAGACAAATCAGGCTTAATCCATCTTTAACACCATAAATATGCTGCATGAAGCACGTCAAAGAAACGATCTAAACCCACGGTTCACTGTCCGTTCATAATGCGAACGCACAATGAAAGTTTAAAGGCACATGCAGCTCAGAGTCAAGCAGCTCACAGTATAAGAGGATGAACCCGTTTCTCCTCCAGGGAAAAACATCCAGATCGGTTCCACTTAAACGGATCAACAGTAATGTGTCTGCTTCCATTTAAACAGCACAGTGATGTGGAGATGATGGACTGCACGCTGCCAAACACCCTCACATTCATACAGCACAATGCAGGAAACCTTTTGCATGTACACAACATGCTAAGCACATCATAACAAACTGAGCGTGAAATATTTTGAAGGGAGGATATGAGTGAAGTGAAAAGAGGCCACAATGCTTGTTTTATGCCCTCATCTTAATAAAATGAGGGTAGGAGGTCAATCTCATGAGCGCAGTTACATGACACCTAAAGCCAAACAGTGCCATGAACAACTGAAAGAGTAAAACCACACTAAAAGTTCTCGACATGTGCTTTTCCCAGCAGGCCCTAAACAGTCATTCTTTCATGGTGTGTATCAAGAGGAAGAACTTACAACATGAAACCTTCAAAGCTTCCAAATGTTTGAGGACCAGGTGACAGGAATCCAGCGTCACTTTAAAAGCGATACAAAAGCGATCACTTTACATGTTAACACAAAGTATGACAGAGGGAGTCGGGAGGCTTTCATCAGGCCGGGCACACCACAAACACAAACACGCAGACAAAACGTCTGCATGTAAAAGACAATGAAACGCAGGAGACTGGAGTCTCCCCACTGACAGAGTGGAAGCCATTTCCACCCACACACATTTACACTAACAAAAGGAAACCTTTGACCGTCTGTGACTCGCATGTCTGATCCAAACGGCGGTGGATGATGACGATAATTCAGCAATTAAGATAAAAATGAGAATAAAGTAGCTTTAACTTTCGTGTGTATTATTAGGTGCTCATGATGTCAGAACCTTTGCAGGAAAACAGTGCATTACAAATCTTAATTGAAAAAAAAAAAAAATCAACCAATTAGATTGATTCATTGGCTTGGGTCAGGGCCCAGCTACATGATATCAGCAGGAAAACAGCCTGAAGATGTCAGGAGTCGGGTCTGTAAACGACTGATGACCGTTTTATCTAATCTAGCATATGGCTGACAACAATCAGTGCTGCACCTTGGACTGTTCACCATGACCTAAGAATACATTTGGCTTCAGACTTTTAAAACATATCCACACTACGGGCACCCAAAGCGCTTTTCCATGCCAACACAGCACGTTTGCCACCATCTTTGTGGTGCTTCGCCGGCACCACTTTCTGGTGATATCACTCAGGTTGTGAAAAAAGTGCAAGCTACGACTTGTCAGGGGACCAACGCGTAGTCTGTCATTTGTCTCCCACTCTAATTACCTGATCTGACATCTTCTTAAACAACAGCATTGTGTAGTGTGAACCCCGCATTAAAGAGCTTTGTGAACCAGAGACTACTTTACAAAGGGGGCAGGACCTCACTGTTACAGCAGGGGAAGGGAAGACGTACATGTTGTACCAGAAAACCTTGTAAATGTTAACAAACAGAAACTTCAACTTGTTACAAACCATTTAAAAGTCATATTAAACTGAAAACATTACAAATATCAAAACTATGGAATGGACTCATTAATTTAATATGAGATTTGAAAAATCTGGTGAAATATCTCACAATTAATTCTTTTTATTTATTTACTTTCCAAGGAGCCTCCCTAAGAAGCTAAGAGTCGATCGTTAACATGTTTTAATGTAACGTAAAGTAAATAATTTGTGACTTATATCAGAGAATCTGCAGAAATCTCTGATCTTCACCGCAGCACTGCATTATGACCTGTGACAAAGGTCATTTATTTCTGTTTTATTTTTATAGCACTCAATTAATATCAGATCATGAGTACAATAAACTCAGGTTTATCTCAATTTAGAAATGAGAAATTAGAAGTCAGGTCCTTAACACATTCCAGCAGTTCAACTAATTGATCTGGCTTCATGGATAGATAGAGTCGGGTATCATCTGCATAACAATGCAACTAAAGGAAGCGTGGTCCTAGCACAGAACCCTGCAGGACTCCAGAAGAAGACTGCCTACTTACATGAACAAACTGGAGGTAATTCCTTGTAACTTGCACATCAGTGAAGGCCCCACTAATGCTGAATAATATGCACAGGTATTGGCACAACAACAAGGAAAGAATACACAACGAGTGTTGTTAATCAACAGCATCCTAATACTGTCAGCGGCTTGAGGCGACTGCTGTGGTGATTTGGCGCTTTATAAATAAAACTGAACTGAATTGAATCCTGAAGTCCAGACTTGCCTCACAGTGAAAACATCTGAGCCAAAAATATAAAAAAGAAGGACTCCAAGCAGCTGAAATCCTAAGCTTTGGCTTTCTAAATAACAGCAGGAGGTCTTCTAAGTTGCCAAATATTTACTGAGTGTTGTCAAAGGTTACAAAAAAAATGCCTCAATTCTTAAATAAACTGTTCCTTTAAATGTAGAAAAGACTGAGATCTGTGGCTTTGTTTGTTTACTCTACCTCTGACTGTCCTGTTGTTACTTTACCCAAAGACAGTGATGCTGACTTTTACAAAATAATACACAGTTTGACTCATCAGGAGCTCCATATTCAACATCCAATTCAGATAAGCATCAAACTATAGAATGAAAACAGACTGAAGATATTAGCTGGACTCATAACTGGCTTTGTTAATAAAACTCATTCTGTTAATATCTGGTCTTAGCTGTGCCGTGTCCTCACGCTCACCGTGTGTTTATCAGAAAATGAATGCTTCATGTCTTCAGGTCTATTTTGGAAAACAGATCTTCTTCTCAAAGATAATCTGACTCAATAAAACTCATAAACCCTGAACCACAGCCAGCCTGGCGCAGCAGGACCCAGGATGGAGGGGCTGATGGGAAGTCAGTTCTCTGTAACGTACTGCTGCTATTTTACTGGTTTGTCACCAGAGTTCATCTACAATTAACCACTTCTCATCTGCATATACTGATTATTACACAAAGTGCTGCTATTAATTTACTTCTGTCCTCTGGTTAACATATGGCAGCTCGTATTAGTGTCGGTCATTACGGCTTGTTGCTGTCTGATTGCGTTGCCATTTGCTCATGAGTAGCTTGCGTCTTTCCTACAGTGTATGTGCTACATGTGTATGGCAATTGATGGGTGTCTGCCAGTTACAACCTGCCATTCAAATTAAATATGGGTCATTTTGGTGGACATGCAAACACTAAAGCCCCACGAACGTTACAACAGAACACCCCAGTAACAGCCATCGGGTCTCCATAACTGATTGTGTTCTTGCTCAGGGAAATGCAGCTAATGACTCAGTTCACTGTCATTATGCTGCCATTTATTTCCTCAATTAATCAATGATGTGTTTGACACAGAAAGGTGGAAAATTCAGTCATAAATACCCAGTTAAAAGCAACAATTAGAACAAAGACAAGCAAATGTTCACATTTTAAAAGCTGGAATAAATGAAAGCAGCCATTTTTAAAAGGTTTGAGCAAAGCTGTTGAATTTCCAACAAATCGAGCTCTGTCACTATTTCATGCCTGAGACTGAAATGTTTTATCTGGCACAACAATTCTGGCAGCTCTTACAGACGAGATTGATTTTGAAATATATCTGAAATGTTTTTTGTTTGTTTGTTTGTTTTTTAAAGCAGCCCATCCTAGCAGTCGCACCCCTGTGGCAATCAAAACCCCGGGAGTGTGATTTTTTCTGTGAAGCTCGGGGAGGACACCGAGCATTTTGCACTTCATTGTGTGTTTATCTCCTGCAGTGTCACTGCAACAGTGCCATTCATCCCTCCGATGCATTAGTAGCCTGCAGCTGTGTTTGGTTACCGGGATGAAGCTTGGTTTACATGCTACAGTCATTTGCTGGAGAAAGCTGCAGGCGATCAGATCCTGAACATTAAGAACCAGCAGACTGCGCTCACCTCCCACTTCGGGCTAATTAGAAAATTAATGATGTCGCTAAAATCTCCAGCACAGGCGGAACGCTTTTCTCTGGTTTTGTGCAACAGGGTCTGCAGATCAGAAGCCTCTGCAGCAGCCGCCCTGCCTTAAACATCAGATGTGTGTAACACAGATGTTAACCACCAGGATCAGGTGGAACAATCGCGTCTTTTTCGCGTTACCTTCATGTCTCCAATGACAGTCTGGAAAAGCCCCCCCAGCGCGCTGCACTCCCTCTCCATCATCGTCTCCATCTTCAGCTGTGTGAACGGAAATTACAAACACGCTCACTCGGAGCTTCTTTAGTCCATAAATGAAGCGTCGGGAAACAAACGGGCTTCACAGGGAGGGAGAGAGACGCTGTTCGGTGCGGATGTAAGCGCTCACACTTGCGCTGCAGGGTTTCCCCGGCTGAAGGAGACCAGAAGGCGGACAGAAGCAGGAGCGCAGGAGCCGGTCGGTGTCCACTCGGAACGCACAAATCCCATTTCAGCCGGAGGAGCAGAGACGCGCCAGAGCGGGGAAGCTCAACCTCACACACCAACCTGCTCCTCTGACACAGCTGAAGGAGACACGGCCCGGGAGCGCGCTTGGAAGGTCGTGGACGCGCGTTCCCGTGGCCCCGCCTTCAGCACAGGAAGGTTTTTTCTTAATGGAAAGATGAGGGTGTTGTCTTTGTGATAGCGCTGGGAAATGACTGCACAATATAAAGCTAGTGACACAGAAACACAAAGGACCCAAATAACTGCTCAAGTATGACAACCAACGCCATTCTAAACAAAAGACACGCCGAGGCCTGCGATATTAATATTTTATTAGAGAAAATGTGCTAAAGAAATGTCACAGAAAGGCATGGCTCTGTGACAAAGAACAAACAGTCTAAATTATTTCATATTGATACTTAGTCTTTTTTTTACAGATCACAAAAGAGTTAAATTATTGTTAAGTGGAATAATATATGAAAAATGACCGTATTTAACATTACAGAAAAATCTGTTCTGTTCAAACATGTAAAAGAAAAATAATATCAGTAAAACAAATGTTTTGTTTCCAGCATTTAAATCTAAAGAAGGTAAATTGTGTTTTGTTTGCTAGAACTAGACGAGTAAAAACAGGATATTTAAAAGAATTAGTCATTAAAATATTTATTTGGGTTATTGTCAGTCTGCAAGTGAAGTTGTCATTCATGCAAAACTTCTAAATGCAGCCACACAAAATAATAACCTACTGATCTGGGTTCTTGAACAATTAAAGTTTCATTTCATTACGAGCTCGTGATTTAAAGAAATAGAAACCTGAGTAGGACAGATATTTAAAATTATACCGCCCCCTAGTGAGTGTTTCGTGGATCTACAGGAAACAAAATCACAAAGATGAATCTTCATCTTTTCTTTTCTCATGAACCAGTCTGACGCTCAGTCTGTGAGGTGAGGTGTGTTTCAGTGTTTTCATCTGTGAACCTGGTTTGCATATTGTTCCACACACTCATATATACACGTCATACATTCATTTACATGTGCATTAATATAAGTGCATGTGTATGTTCACAGTAACGAGAGCAGCCAAAAAGGAGATTAAAGAAAATGCAATAATGAAAATTCACAGTGAACCCACATTTTCCATAAAAGATATTAATGTTGAAGCATGAGCATAATTTATTAAACAGAATCATTTATTTACCAGATTTCAGTCCTGGATAGAGAGTGGACTAACAACACTCCATCCCTTCACACATAAAGGGACACTACAGAGTTTTCAATCTTTACAAACAAGAACTGGCCTAAGGTTTCTTCAGGTTCCTTCAAA